GTATAATTTTATGAGATTTAAGCTATTTTGTCTAAACATTTATGTTTTCGTGTTATAATTTGTGTTCATTCTAGAGTGAAAGTGACATAATTTATGTTTATTTCATAATTTTTATGGTGGTTGCGAGATCGGTTAAATCTACCAAACCCTTACATAGATTAATTACTGAAAATAACAGATAAAATATGAAGCTTTTGCTTAAGAAATGTTTGATAACTATCTGGACATTATAAAGATTTTTGCATGTGAAATTTAAAAAATTTCTGATGCATAAAAGTATTTTTAATCTTAAAATGAAAAATTTCTTTGTATGATAGATAGGCAACATGCGAAAAGAAAAATAGACATGAGAAAAACATTGCCTTATAAACCTTAACACTTAATAAACAAATTTGATATTTTGCATATGAAAGCATTGTAATGTTTACTGATATTCTGACAAATTTCATTAACATTTGCTTACTAATTTAAAAGTTATAGCATGAAAAGTATAACAAGCACAAAATGGTTATGAGGTCAGTCCCAGGGACTGAGCCTGGGCTGAAAGAGTTAACAAATTGATTTTATTTTTATTTCTTTAGCACCTTACAGCAAATAAACACCTGTTTTTATGTAGATTCCTCAACTCTGGAAGAAAGCAAAGCCTATCAGTCACCTAAAAAGAAAGATACATATTGTTATAACAGAAAATATAGGACATGCAAAGGAAATAACACAAGCACTGTGCATCAAAAAAATAAAAACCATGTTATAGATAAACTTCATAATTCGGTAAAGAAAAAACATAGCAAGAAAAGCTCCAAAGCCCACGAGAGTAGACACTCAAGAATAAAATATTCTTGTAGTAACAATTCTAAAAGAAGACATGTTACATATAAAGGTTATAATTCAGTTTGGAAAGGTTGCTTTAAAGCTTTTGACTATGGAAGACATACAGACTCTTTTTATCATACAAATATCAGGAAAAAGAGAAATAAATCACTAGCTGGCATAACTTCTCATTCCCGACATGGATACATGAGAGGGAGAGGTCGTAGTTCAAGTAGTAGTGAAAAAAGTGAAGAATCAAGCTTAAGTTCTATGGACACAAAGAATTTTTATAACAATGCACATTTTGATTACAAAAAGTTCCCAAAGTCACTCATTATGAAAGTGGAAGAGTCTGGACTTGGTAATGATTGTTCGGACAAGCAGGTTGATGCTAAGTCCACTGAAGAAGCACAGAAAGTAACTCCTGTAAATTTGGACAACACAGAATGTGTTTCAATTAATAGTGACAGTACTAATAAAGAAATTAGAAGGAATTCTGAAGGACAGAGAATTTTCCATTGTAATGATATGATATCGGAGCAGTCGGATCTCTTCACTCCTATATTCCAGAGTTTTGTTCAGTCTCTAACAGGAAACATCAATCCCACCCAAGAAAGCCAGCTTATTAATAAGACTTCTTCAGATAACTCTGCTACAAAGGCTGATGAATATGCAGATAGAAGAATGTCTGATATAAATATTCCTTCTCATCAACAGGAGCTGATGTATCACAAGAAAGTAGAACTACTGAAGGTATGAACTTTTGTACAGGATCTAATTTTAGTCCAAAATAAAATGTGAAATAAAAAATAAAATAAAAATTTCTATGTTATTTTTATTTTTCAAGTTATTTTGGTGCTCAGTGTGTGTGTATTTTCTTAAGTTTAAAGTATAATAATGATTATGTGCCAGGATTAACTTTACGTACAAAAATACATGTTTCAATATTTCATCACTTTCTTAAAACTTTAAGTTGTTAAATTTGAGAAATGATGTTTAGAAAATAAGTGTATTTTGAATTATTATCACAACTTCATTCCACTTAAAAGCTGAAAACAAGTAGTTACATAAAATAATCACAACAAACTTACTGTTATATTCAGATATATTTTTTTCATTTTAGTAAAATTTTCAACATGAATTCTTTATAAATTGATCAGAGTGACATGTTATAGTTTGATAATTATTTGATACTAATACATTTACATCAATAGATGTAAGTTTAAAGCTGTGATTAATAGATAGCAGTTAATAATCAATTATGCACAGCATCTTTTCTTAGAGGATTGGGTAAAGGCAGGAAAATTGATTTGAAGTAACAGTATTGTACTGAAATAGTTTTATAAATCTTTGTATTGCAGTGAGAATTGGCATAATTACAAAATATGTTAAAATATTGTAGTTATATGTACCTGATTCATTAGTATAACTTTCCAAATAAACAGATTTATTATTTTGTATAAAAACTTTTTTACAGCATTTCAAAGAAGAATGTGAAGTTTATTTTATGGTTACAAGAATGCTTATCAGGTAAAGTTTTTAATTTATATTAGTGACAAAAAATCTATAAGAAAGAATGAGGTTTCATGAGAGAATAACCTTGGTTCACTGCATGGTTTAAGTTTAGGAGAAAATTATGTTGATCCTATGTAATCATTTAAATGTATGACAAAGTAAACTTGAACTTCATGAGTTTGGTGTAAGAGAAAATAACCATGTTTTTTTTTATTATTTGTTCCAGTGTGTGTAGTAAGAATGATCTTGAACCTCAGTTGTTTTTATTATAATAGCCAACAATCTTGTAAGTTTGTATAACTTCATTTTCTGACTGGTTGACTTTGGTCTTTTGTATGGTTTCAGTCCATGAGAGTTTGACCTTGTTTCTATTAATGGTTTCCTGTGAGAATGATCTTAATCTATATGCAGTTCCAGAGATTGTGAAAATCGTCTTGATTATGTGTGTGGATTTATAGTTTCATTTTATGAGAAAATAACGTTGCTATGTTGATTCAGTTTGTAAAGAAACACCAAACAAGTTCAGTTAATAAGAGAGTAATTTTTATAAGAGCTGGGCGATTAGGTTAGTGATATTTGCTAATCAGTTAATTGACAGATTCATTAATCGATTAGTATACCACGCCCCCTACAACTCGTATGAGCAAAAAGAAGAAGAAATGTGTATGTTCTACCATCTTAACTTTTTCAGCCACTGCATTCTTCTAACATGGTATTAATTTTCTTTTACATTAAATTTGTTTTTTAAGTACTTTTTCCAATTACCTTGATTTGTCAAAAAAGAAAAAAAAAGAAATCACTTAAGTTTTATGGACAATTTTTTACTGGGCAGATGAATCGCAAATAACAATTAGATACCACTACACAATCGCCATTGCTTGTTTTTAAACTATGCTGTGATTTCACATTGATCTTCTGTAAATCAAATAAATTGATGATTAAATAACAAAAACATATTTTACTTCCACGATAATGGTAATAATGCTTTTATTCAAAAAACATCACGATTACAATTACAAATAAAGTAGCCAGTTAAGCAGTTTACTTATGTACATTGTTTGAATAGGATAAACATGAAATCGATATTTAATAAAGATTTGATTATCACAATATTTGGAATCACCTACAATACTCACTAAACTAAACTATACTAAACCTGTCTGATTTAATGACAATTTTATTTAATGAAAATAATTTTTAAAAAACATGTTTACAAGCATTGTAACTCAATAAAACTATAGTATATCTATTAGAAAGTAAAAACACCATAATTTTAAATAAAGGAACCGAACATCAACAAGATACCTTTATTAAGGCTTAAGCAATCTCCAGTCATATGACTTCTTTGCTTTGTATCATGAACCATGATAGTGATTTATAATAGGGATCACACAAGAATTTGCTCAAATATATAATTGAACATTCAGGCAAAAACCACATTAAAAAGCAGACTTATTCTTGAAACAACAATCAAACCTTCCTTTCCAATAGACCACCTAAACATTAATTATAAGCAAAATAAGTGATTTCATGATTGTAGACAAAATAAAAATTTACCTATTTGTTCATAAATATTATTATTATTATTGTTTCACAAGCCTACAACAAAATCAGCTGGGTATTTTGTACCAAAACCTAAACAGATTTACTATATGAAATGCTGGGAATATGTGACCTACATAAAAGTTCATTATTTTTCATTGAAAGTTGACTTACATGATTATAAATACATAATGGATGTGATGTTATTGTGAGTGGCTGGCTTTTTTACTCAATGCATGTTAAACTCATTTTGACACGAAAACTCGGGCACAAAGCTACCTGACTCAGTAAATAATTACTTTAAAAGACACAAAGCTTTATTTAAGGTGATGTTTTAGACATTTGTTTTAATTTGAAAAGGCTACTTTTTTACTTGTAAAATGTTATACTTGCTTAGTTGTGGTTGTGTCTTACTCTATGCATATATTTGCCCATTGCTGTGGATTAACAAAGCCAACATACAAGATAATTAAAAATTTATCATTTAAAATCTACAAATAAGGATTGCAAAAAAAATTAAGCAAACAAGGCTAGAGATCTAATGCTAACAGTTTTGCTCAAGGTATAAATCCCTATTAAGACTTCACTATAAAATTATTACAAGTGATATCTACTGTAGTGTGGGATTTCACAGGAATTTTGCAAGAAACTGAAAGAGTAGTTTTAAGCTTCATTCAATCTCCTTAATTTTGTTGTGCTGCAAAATTTTCTAAGCCCTTCTCTTTCTTTCATCAGAAAATCTGGTGTATTCCTACTGTGCACATAGTTGGAAACTACAACTTGTGCAGTTTCTAGTACATTAATTGAAAACTGCAACATGAAAAGTTTCCAATTTTGCTGTTGCATATCATTACTTGAGTTGCTATTGTTCATTGTTACTCAAGTTTGCTGTCTCTACATGGATTTCCTACTCATATGATGGTGGTAATTCTTTCTACTGTTTCTTATATTTAGCTGAAATCATGAGTGGGTATTCAATATTTATTACCACTGCATATAGCACTATTTCATATAGCTATTGCTATTTTTAAATAGTTGGTGTTAAAGTAGCGGTTGTAAATGTTGTTGATAATTACCAACTTATGCTAAGTGTGTAGCTGTTGTCTATTTTTCATGCATTATTTGTGTCGCCTTATTCTAGCAAACTTGTACACAGCAAGCTGTTGAAGAACATACATATGTGTCATGTAGACCTAACAAGGTAAGCATATTACTGAGTCTGTTTACATTGTATTAAATCTGTGTTGTATTATCTTAGAAGAAACATTATTCCATTCTGATGAGATTGCTTTATTGCTACTCGTCTTTTGTTACATTACAATGGAATATTCCTGAAAACTGGTCTTTAAATCTGTGATGATACAATCTTTTTCATCAAGATGGTCTTTTGAGAACAGCTTTACATTTTGTTTGTTGTAGTTGTATACCAGTACATGTGTTTACACTTTGTTATACATTTGTTATTTGTTTTGAATAAGTTCAGTGTGGTGATTAGGTGGGAAAAAAAGCCAATGTAGCAGTAAACTGTTGAAAAACATGTAACATTCAACTGAACGCAAATGCACATATGTAGTTTAAAATTCATTCTCCATAAATGGACATAAAAAACATAAGAAACAAGATTAGTAAAAATTGTTAATTTAAAAAGGGGGGAATAAGGATCATCAAAAAAAGTACCATTAAATCAAAATGTAAAGATTATGTTTTCAAGCCTTTGACGAGGCACTCTAAAAAATAAAATAAACTAACACATCTAGAAATAGTGTGTACATTCTTTTCTCAAACTACAAATCCCTATTTGACTCCACTAAAATTGATAAGTGCTGTATACATGGAGTCAAAATAGGGATTTGTAGCTTGAAAAAATAATGTAGACATATTTTCAGCCTTGCTTGTTTACTTTGTTTTTAGAATTCCTGGTTGTAGGCTTTAAAACATGATCCTTGCATTTTATTCAATTTGTTTCTGTACTTTTGTGGTTATCCTTGTTGTATATATAATCGTGTGTCTAGGTAAACTTTTAATAAAGTTTTCTTTGTTACCTATTCAACCCATCTCAAAACTGTATAAGTATACCTATCTTAATTTAACTTATCTGTTGTATTTTCATTGAACTTGAAGGCAATTTATATAGCTATTAAACAGGTGTGATTTAACATGCAAATAATTTCACAATTCACAACAAAAGGAAGTTTATGGAAACTAAAAAAAAACAACTCTAAAACTTGTATATTTACTCTATTAATAAGTGATATTCTAATTCTTGCTCAATCCAGTCATATTTTAACTTTATTTACAGCTGTTTTCTAAGCTGTGTTTTATCAGTAAATGATTAAATCACTTAATGCTGCACCATAGCAAGGTTTCAACCAAGGCATGCACAAAAACTAAGGAAAGGCTTTAAAATTGAGAATACTATAATGTATTCTCAAGGGGTAATAGATTATTCTTTGTAAAAATAGCTATTCTTTGGAATGGGCAGAAAAATTCTAAAAAAAATTGACACGGGACCTCATAACCATTTTGTGCTTGTTATAGTTTTCATGCTATAACTTTTAATATTTTAAGTGTATCTCTACAAAATTTTGTAGACTTATAGTAAACATTAGAAGCCTTTTGCACACAAAAAATCAGATTTTTTTAATGAAGTATTTTTACTTATATTTGTCCATGAAAATATCAGTTCTTTTTTTTTAACTAGTCTGAGGGCAAAGTGATTTTCATTTGCACAACCTCTGAAACCCTCTAAATACATATATATATATATATACCTTTTGTTTTTCAATAAAATGTTATATTTTACCTGTTATTACATTTATTATTTGATTCTTCACCCTGTAGACAACTCATTGAAGTAGAATGAAAATAAAAATTGTAAAATCAGAAATATATAATCAGCAGCTGTTTCCTTTTTCTTCATTATTGATCATGAAGTTTCAAATTCTTCCCCTGACAGTTTCAACTGCTAAACATATCCAATATATTTTCTGTGTTTATTTTACTGTCAATGACAAATTACAAACCCACAGACCATAAAGCAATAATTCACCGCTCGTATTATAAGACTGTTTATGTACAACCATAATAGAAAACTCTCGAGCACAAAAATGCACGCGTATTCAGTGAGGTGACATTCTCCTTGCTCCAAGAACACAATATGGGATATAGGAGTTTATAGTTTCTACAACACTTTCAACAGAAATTTTCCAGGGTAATAAAATTGCAGTTAGACTGTGTAAAAAACATTTATTATATGGTTCAGAGTTGGGCTGATCCAATAAACATTGTAGGTTCTGAGCCGGGCTTATCTAATTACACAGCAGGTGTTTCAGTACTATGGTCACCCATTTCATATGTGTGGAAATTCACAGCATAAGCATATGAAGGTATTATTTGGGTACATTCTTATAAATGATATACCTTCTCTCACTTTCACCACACTTAGAAAGTAAATGAGAAATACTCTGACAAACAAAGATTTCGAGTACGTAACCATGTTACAAAATGTTGCATTTGTGCATCGCTCGTGCGTTGAACTTGCTAAGCTTTGACGTAAGCCTCGTTTATTCTTCTGGGTGGAGGAGGTAGAGACACTAATTTTTTTGGCTTCAAATATGAATTTTTGAAGACCAAAAAGTTATCAAATTACTGTACTAGTACACTCAAAATCCCTGTAATCCCATTTAAAAAATCCCATTCCTGTTCAGAGCAACGACTAAATCATCACACTTCAATGGTTTTGAATTTAAGAAATTAAAACATATAATATCAAAATCTAAATTATAAAATACGTTTTGATGCCAATTTCATTGATGTAAGTAGTAAAAATGTTATTTAGTAAAGTTTGAAAATAATGCTCCAAAACGTCGTAACGTGCACTTTAACCTACCCGGGGTGAAAGGGTTAAAGGTAAAATGCTTTGTCAGAATAAAATAATTTTAGGTTAAAATTGTTTAAATACATCAGGGGAGGTCAATTAGACATATACTAGCACAATTTAGGGACAACAAGGGACCTATTTCCATCTAGGCTATCCCATCCTTTAAACTAAAACTTAAAAAAAAAAGCCTCAAAGCCAGCCCTTATCATTCATATAGGTATCAAGCTTTCTCTTAAATTCGCTTAAATTTACTGCCTTCACAACATTCAAAAGCAATTTGTTCCAAAAGCCAATCACTCTCTAAGAAAAATATACTTTCATATCCTGCAAAAATTTATATTTATGTCATATAGTCCTACCATTCTCACCATTAAGTAGGAAAAAAAGATGATGCATCAACACTATTAGATCCCCTCTAACTCTTCTTTTTTTTCAAGAGAAAACAATTTCAGAGATCTTAACCTCTCCTTGGATGACAGCACCTCTATCCATTTCCCCCATTCTTGTAGCCCTCCTCTGAACCCTTTCCAACAATTCAAAGTCCTTTCTAAGTTAAGGAACACAATACTCCAAATGTGGTCTAACCAGTGACCTATGCAATGAAATTATAACGTCTGTAGACTTGTATTAAAACCCATCAGCCATATATTTGCTCAACTCACTAAATGATTTAAAATTCTTTTGTACAGCAGCAGCATCCTCATAGCCAGCAACACTCAAGACCTTAATGTCATTAGCAGCTTTAAATAATATGTTGACCCTTCCTTCATCTATGTCATTGATGTAAATCAAAAAAACAAAGGTCTTAAGACTGAGCCCTGAAGTACCCCACTTATTATATTAGTCTAGTTTGACTGTACTCCATTTATAACAACCCTCTGCTTTCTTCCATTCATCTATTAAAGTAGCTAACTTATCCCTCACACCTATAGGGATAATTTTTTACAAGCCTTTTGTATAGCCTTTATATTGCTTTCATTATTTTTGTATGTGTAAGTACACACCTCTAGGAACTTTAGTAATAAAATCAATTGGAAAGACTACAAAATCATTGTGAGTAGCTCATTGTGGTTACAATTCCAATAGTTTCAAAGCTTATATCTTTATTTCTAGTAATGTGAATGATATGAAAGTAAAAACAGTTAAAGATAAACATTTTAAATTTTGTAATTAAAATTAAATATCTTTAATTATATTTATAAAAAGTATAAAGTCTACACTTAATTGTTTGTAAACAGGGTGCCTATTTTGTTATTAAGTTGTCATTTATTAGTCATAGCTATAGCACTTGCATTTTTGCTTATTTTGGACATCAACAGTACGAAAACATCTTTTTTGCAAGTATTATAATATTCAAACTATGAAAAACCTATTTTATAACAGGTATTATAAACAAAATTTTAAAAACTATTATTAACTGTGAAAACAAATCTGTAAAGTCAGTTGTTATTGTTAGAATGTCTTGAAAAAGCCAAGGCATGAAAATTTACCATGGTAACCTTTAACCGACATTCATATTGTTTAGAAACAATCATGATTGAGGTCAAAACCAGGTTGCTGTAGGCTCCAGCTTGGTGATTTAAGGATACTGAAAAAAGCTTTTATGGTAATTAGTAGACTAATCAAATAAAAATTGATATCAGATTTTTTTGACACATTTGGTTGTTTCTTTTATTAATTTCTGAAAAAAATGTGAGGGGGTTGGACCCCCCTAGATATGTGTAAACAGTATATAATACAGTTATAAATTTCTGAAAAAAAAAATAGTGGAAGGGATGCGATGGAGGTTTTGACCTCTTGGATCCCTCCCCTAAATCTGCACCTGCTTATACAATATTAATATAGTTAAAAATTTCTATTAAACAATTGTGGGGGTTGTCCCCTTAGACTCCCCCACTAGATTCATGCCTGCTTATACAACATTTAAGAATGCAGTTAAGCAATTTTAATTAAGAAATACAACACTGTAGAAAATATTAGTAAAGTTACACTGTAGTTAATACTTAATCAGACAAAGATTTGGCAGTGGGTGCTATAAGCCAGTTACCCTTTCCTCTAGTTAGCTGTTCAGAATTAAGGAAAGTTGGCACATACCCTTAGTAGCTTTGCAATAGCAAAGATGGGATGAGTAAATTTAGTGGCAATGGAAATCAAACTCCAGACCCTCAACTCACAAACATAATGACAATATTTCGATTAATCAATTGTTGGTTGTTGGAAAAATCAGAAATACTAATTTGATTAGTTGATCAGTTTTGTGATATTATTCAGTTAGTTTGAGACATTAAATCGCCCAGCTCAACTTTTTATAGTGAACAGATAAATGGTGAAACTTGCATTTTACATTTCAAATATAATACATGTGTGTAAATGCAGTATGTACCAAAATTAGTCATCTAAAATAAATTAGAAAAAAAAGGTTAATGTAATGGCATTGGTACTTTGCACAGTTATAACTCGCTTATTGTCTTATTATGCATCCAATTCCATCTCCACAGCCTTCACTTTATAACAGAGGTTTTAACGAAATAAAATTCATCAGTACTCAAACTTTGTATAGAGGATTTTGCATTTGCTTTCTCCTGTTTGAATGCCATGTTGTTTTTGTGACTGGCCTATCACTTGGTGATGTGAAACAGTAATGTTAGTTACAAATATGCAGAGTTTTGATACTGTTGGATTAATACCTTTTTGTTTTATGACATTTATTTTTGGATGAATAATGTTGGTACTTTTATGCATGTGTGTTTGTGTAACTTCCTAGAAAAGATAAATATATAAGACAGAAAATATTAATTGTATGATAGTTATTGCTCTAAATAATGGACAGGAAAAATATAATAGTTTAAAGTAAACATGCTTTATTATATTCTAGTTAATTGTTTATTCTGTTTCCCATGTTTTATTTTTATTTAAAACAACAAAGAGTATTGGATGGAACTAAAATTTCTTATATTATCTTCGTATCCCTTTTTAATTTTGTCAGTGTTCAGTAATAATGAGATGAACATAAGGTTTCACTAACGATTCTTTATAATATTGCTCTCATTAAAACAATCTGATTGTACTCGTTCAATAACACATAAAAGGTTTGTATTTCTGAATTTCAGTAAAGACCCACAACTTCAAGCAGAAATGTCCCAGTGTTTGAAGTTGACCCTTGATGACTTGAGTTCAGCCTATATGGTGGAATTTAAAGAATTTGTGGAGAGGCTTCTCAAGAATCCTTTAAACATGAATTTTGGTAATTTCCTACCATCTGTCTGAAAGAAAGGAACAAGTTATCAGAAATTGTCTTTGCAGGCTTTTGAAGAAGGATCTGAATTGTTTACAGACTGAAGCAAATATAAGAAAGAATTGCTATTATGCATGTATTTTTCTTTTTTAAACAGAAAGTTTCTAAGTTTGTTTTTTTTCTCTAAATACACATGAAAAAAATGACTGCATTGATATAATTTTATTTTTAAAGTTATCATTTGCGGATTGAAATGATTTTCAGCGAAATTTTGTCATTGATCTTTGAGTTGTGAAGAGAGGTTGCAGTTAAATGTTACCAGCACTTGCCTTAATCTCTGCAATAGAATTAGCAAAGAGCAGCATTTTGTCAACAATACATTCCATATCAGTGATATTATAATATCAATACCTGATGAGCTTGACTTGAATATTTTTAAATAGAAAACATGTATTATAAACTTATTGTTAAATGTTACTTTCATGCTTGACTAAATTTTATCCTTTGTAATTTAGAAAAAATACAGAAATGAAAATTTTTATTCTTGTTTTACAAGTTTGTATGGTTTTTGTGCATTCTCATTGACTGTTTCATGCTCAATGCTCTCAGAAATAAACAAAAAAATGTTTTGAACAGTGTGATCAGCTTATATAAAGATGAAGCAAGTGTCATACACATTTAAGTTACAAGTCTACATCTCTTACACTCATTCTTAATTTTTCAAATCAAAACTATTAATAAAATATAAACGTAAAAGTAATAAAAAAAAATTGAAAAATAAGGATGATGTGGGGATGTCAATACCAAACATTACAGAAGCAAGGTAGGGATGAATATACAAAACCATATAAATATTTCCAAGAAAAACTGTTATCTACAACTAAATGTTGAATTCCTTTCATCATTTACATGAATTCAGGTTTGAATAAAATATTTTAAACTGAATTATGCAATAAGGTCTTACAATGGCTAATTCCCTTAAGTTTGTAACATTGACTCATTGGCTACGTACATAGGGATTTTTGTATGGTTTTGTGTATTTGTCCCTACCCGTTTTTTTTTTTTACTTTTTGGTATTGCCATCGCTACACAATCCTTATTTTTTTTCAAAAAAATCTTATTACCTGTTCCACCTCTTTTTTTTTTCATCCTTTTTTAATGAATGACAGTTGCTATGAAGGCAACAGTTTTACCTGGTGTAATGAGTTGTCTTGACAGACATCATTTGTTGAAGTCAGTGAAATGTTTATACTGCTTCTGCACTCCTCAAGTTAAATGCAACATTTTGGTGTGTAAATGATTGCAACAACTTCAATCATTGGTGTGCTAACCCTTCTGATACCAGAATCAAAATAATTAGCAGAACATTTGGCTGTTACACTACTTGTTGGTTCTCTACTTTAGCAATGTTTTTTTTTGGCTAAACTGAAGGTCTTGCTAGCTTTTGAAAACGTAAGTTACGTTTTATAAAAGTCTCTTAGGTTGTTATGAGAGAGACTTGAGACTATGATGAGCAATAAATAGTATGTGACAGGCATTTTTCCCCAGCCCATCCCTTTATATTAAGCACTTCCATGCTTAGTGATAAATTTAAGAGACAAATAAATAATTCAAAAGAGTAAGAATTATCTAAGTGTTTTGCATAATATAATCAAAAGGAAAGTTTTTTCATTAATGAAAATATATTCAAATATTTTTCACCACACTTGAAAAAAAAATAAAGCAGGGACTTTTTTAGTAATTGGGAAAAAAACAAAAATTCACATTTCAGTAATCTTATTTAACTGCATTTCAAATCAGGTAGACTTACCTCAGAAATGCTGAATCCTTTTCTTGTTGAGTTGCTCTTGTGTTGTCAGTAACCATGTAATTCAAAGTTTTGATTGAAACTACCCAGAATTCTCTACTCTCCCACCTTCCATGTGACATTTTTGCTCATGTGTCCGTAAAACTTACATAAGCTCTGTTTTTTCATATCCCTTGTCTACTTCTCATCAGTATCAGCTACTTCTGCAGGTTCCTTTTGACCCTACCAAGAGACCAAACATAGACATTGGCAAGTTGGGGGGGAGGGAGCCATCTCAGATCATTGGTTCATCTGTGTGACCCTTGGGTTTGACAGATCTTTTGGTCTGGTCTTAATGTCTTTTTCTCTTTCTTCTGATCCAGTCACTCACAAATTTTGCATCAAAAGGTTTTACATCTTCTTTAGAAAGGAGCAAACTAAATTGTTTATTGCATTTCCTCAGGTTTTTTACTCCTATCTCTCTGTGGTTCTGAAGAGATCTGGCATTTTGAGACTTATCTCAATTCATTTTTTCCTGGAGATAACTGATTTTAAAATGAAATATATGAATTTATTCCAAAGGTTTTGTTGTCACACCCATTGGATGATGTTGGTGGATGCACAGAATTCTTATATTTATATTCCTGTTCATCTATCATCCCAATATCTTTTTTTACCATGGGGTGGGGACTAGTTTAGCAGTCTACTGCCCTTCACTTCAGTACGGGTTCTTACATATTCTGTTGGGTAGTTTAATTCTGCTGGTTTTCTCTATTCACTCTCATTGGATTTTATATGGATTTTTGACTTATTCTGACCATTTCGTCCATTCAGTTTCTTGTACACGCTGAGTTGAATACAACTTCAAATGTCATTTGGTACCACACAGTACACAGTGTTTGGTACACCTGGTATTTTGATTAACACAATTCAAGGAACACTTGAATTGTTTCCTATGGTGTTACAAGCCTTGGAGTCTTTTGTTCATTTTCTTTTGTCTTTCCCACTTACCTCTAAAGACATCTTATCTGCTCTGGGAATAATGGTTTTACAAAGTCATTCCTTTGGGGCATGCTCAGATGCAACACTTCCAGTGCAGTCTTACATCTTCAGACCAGTTATTTTGAGGAATTTCCCTCTTTCGTACTGCTCTTGGTTACCTTCAGTTTTTGCATCCACCTAGTATTTGAGAACATATCACAGTAAAAATCAGGATTTGATGCTCATGGTGGGCACACCACAGATAGCCCATTATGTAGCTCTATGTTTAAGCATCCAACACGACCTTCAACTTTGGCTCAAATATGAGTTTTCTACAGCATGTTCCTCTTTTCATCCACCTCATATAGATCTGTCCATCTTCACAAATGTCTCCTCATGAGGGTTAGGATGCTGTCATGGGGATTCTTGTCTTTTGGTTTTATTCTCTCCTCAGAAATCAAATCTCATGTGAATCTTTTGAATTTTTGAACAGTTCCATGTACTTTTTAAGAGTGCCTACACTTGCTACACCACCACTGTGTTTTAAATCACAGACTTTTCTGCAGTGGTGGCATACATAAATGATCAGAGAACACTATCTCACAGCCTTCGGTTTGCTGCACCCTCTTATTGACTCCTGTCACACTTATCTCCGAACCTATCTTGTATCAGATGTTATGAACACTTGTGGATTCTCTTTCCAAAGATAACTCTTTTCTCCCTAAAAAATATATCCTTTGCCATCCAGTTTTTCAATGGGTGTGCCATCGGCTTTGTCAGCCTTTGATCATTACCTTTGTATGGCAGACAATGAACTTCTTCCACTTTTTTTGGTCTCCAGTTCCAGACCTTGTATCTCTAGTGGTGGATGCTTTGAGTCAGTATAGGGAAAAATTCGTTTTCTTTATGACTACCCCTCCTCTTCATCATCTTCATTGAGTATATGCAAAGATCAATTCACTGAAATATCTAGTTCTTCGAACCCTTATTGATCCGCATCGGCTGTTCATCATCTACAGCTTCATGGCTGGATAGTATGCAGTCATTTATTAGAAAAACTGCATTCTCTTCTCAAGTAACTCAGATGTTATCACATTCTTGCTGATGTTCATCATTGGCCATCTGCTAATTTTGCTGGGCTGTATTTTAGGAGTTGGTGCCTTAGAAACTCTATTTCTTGTTATTTTCCAGCTCCTCTATAGGTTATGTTGCCTCATTTCTTGTGTTCTTATTTCATGTTCATGGCTAATCTGCTTCTTCTATTGCAGGCTATAGAGCTGTCCTCTCTGTCACTTTTAGATGCCTCAAGAACCATTTCTTTCTTTGTCTCATCTCAACTTTTCACTAATGATATTTGATGCTTTTGCTTGCTTTCTTTCCCAGGCTTCTAGACACTGTCTACAGTGAAACTTGTCTTATGATGTCTTGCTTCTTCTTCCTTTGAATATTTAGTGATTTGCTCACTTTACCATCTTTCACTAAAGACATATTTCCTTCTGTTTTTTGCTACAGGTAGGAAAAGACTTGACATTTATACCATCAATACTTCTTGTACTCTTTTAAAAGGCTCCATAGCTGTATCCTAACAGAACCATCTGAAAAAAAAAAGATGACCATTGATTTGTTTTTCATCAGTTGTGTTGCATACTCAGATTGACTTAGATTTTTGTTCTAAAGAATGCTTTCTGTGTTCTGTCAGGGCTGTTCATTGCTATATTGAATGAACAGAATCTTTCAAAAGCAGTTCAGCTATAACTGAGAGGTATAATGTAAATTAATACAATGATAACAAGTTTATTTCTATTAGCTGGTGTATGACAACAGTTAATGCTATGATAAAATAGTAGTAAAGTTATTATTACCTTTTCATGTAATTTGAGGTGAAGTTTAGTTACTTTAACTTGTTTGAAGAGTGTCAGAAATGAAACCAAGTAACCTGAGTACTTTTGGAAAATAAACTTTCTTCATCAAAGGTAAATGGCAGATGATTATTGTAAACATGTTGATCAGTTAGGTAGTCATCATACCAGAAGTGAGAAGTCACACGTTTTTAATATGATCTTAATTGTGAAGTAGCATTGCTTGTGAGTATATGTGATAGGACACAGAGAAAGAGCAGTTTTGAAATAAGAACAGCTTACAATAATATGTGTTTGTGCAAGAAAGAAGTAATGATTTTAATTTCTTTCAATTGATCCTGCATACTTAGTATACTGTACATTGGTTGCTTTCACCAAGTCTGTAGCTTTGGTATTAGAAATTTATTTTGCTGTGCAAATGTTTTCAATGTTTTGTTAAGAACTAAAAATTGTTATAATTCATTGTGTGACTATGTTTGGTTTTTAATGGGAAAAAACATAATTAGTAAGTGTTTCTGTTTTTCATAAATGAGTACTAGTCAGTATAATGTGTTTTTTTTTGTCAGTTGTGATTATTTATAAACTTTAAAAGCTTCTTGTGTCATGCTTACATGAAGTATAGAACAGTTCACCAGTTGGATCATATATGATACTGGCTTATGATATATGTTAGTTGAATCTACCAAGACAAATAGTATTTTCATTTTAAAGATGAGAATCAAAGTTGAAGTATATTTAATTTTTATTTAAATTTCTTGCTGGAGATCAGATTTCTAAATTTATTCAAGTCAGTAGAGGATAGTAATAAACAGTTCTATAAGAAACTGTTCAGTAAGTTGAAATTTTAAAGCAATGTTTTGTTTTTTAATCCAAACTGAATGAACAGTGAGCTAGCTTTACTGTTTTAATTGTGTATCTGTATATCTGACTTGATAACTGAAACACACAGTGTATTTTCCTCTAATGATGACACACACACAATTACCTGTATTACATCAAGGTGTACAGGGAGTTACTCAGCACTGCACAGCCCTGATGAGATAATTATGTAAAAATACAACATTTGTTTATATATACATGCAAACAAATACATGATTACATCAGCAAAACTGTAATAAAACAATGTAAAATTATACCATTTGTAAAAAAAAGTAGA